TACAATCCTCACTTAAAGCAGCACTGTCATGCCAAACTTACCTTCCCCTAATCGATTAATCTTCTCTTCCTCTCTCGGGATCTGTTCTTCATTTCTTCCTAACAGATCTAGTTTTCTTTAAAGCAAGACAAAGAAGGGACTATTATGCCACGATCGGCAAATGGGGGGCACTAAAAGACAATGGGGGAGACTTATTGTCCTCCCTAGCCCCCAACTATGAGAAGTGGGTGGGGGTCCTATTGTCCCCTCCCGGCCCCCGCCCATGAGCAGCGGGTGGGGACCTTAAAAGATAATGGGGGAGAGGAGCTATTGTTGGCTTAAGGTTTAACCCTTAAACCAACCAATCAGAGCGCTCTATGTCAAATTGCAGTGTGTGGGAGGGCTTTATAAGCCTTTCCCCTCCCTGTGGACCCCTCGCTGGATGAAGATGAATTTTTTTTTTTTAACGCTGGGATATTTATTTTATTTTCTGCATTTTTTGGGGTGCTTGGGTATTATTTTCTAAGTTCAACAGGCTTTATGAATTTTAATTTGGCCTTTTTGCAGCTAAAAAAAGACTTCAAATGGCAAGTATTTTTTTTTTTATATATATACCGGTATTTAGTTTTTTAGATTTAGATTTTTAGGGTGAGGGGGTTAGGTAGGGCTTTATTTTATTTTTTTTGCGGGGGAGGGAGGGTGGTGACCTGGGGATCCCATGTCACCTATGGATGGGGGGTATTTTTTCATTTAGCCCCCATCCGCTGCACATGGGTGGGGGCCGGGACAATATGTCTCCCCCCATTGTCATTTAGGACCCCCACCCGCCGCTCATGGGTGGGGGCTGGGAGTGGGACAATAGGTCTTCTCTCCCATGGTCATCTAGGGCCCCACCTGTCGCTTATAGGTGGGGATCAAGGGGGACCCTATGATCCTTCCCCAGCTAGTTAATAGATGCCCCACCATTGGACCATTTATTGGAATGGGGGGGGGGGATTTTTTTACACAGGCTGCTCACTGTTTAGTAGACATGCCCCTATTCGCAGCATAGCAAGAAGGGGCATTTGAGAGATTTCAATCTCCCTTATGCTAATATGGGGGTAATATTCCCTGCCGCTTCTATTTTTACATATTATAATAAAGGATGGATGACTCAAGACAAGGTACTGCAGCAGTTAAAGAAAATTTATGTAAATAAAGCTCCGGGTCTGACGGTATTCAACCATGAGTACTTAAGGAGCTTAGTGTTGATATAGGTGAACATCTGTATTAAATCTTTCAAGCTTCTTTTGTTTCAGGAATTAACTTCAGTGACTGGGTAAGTGTTTGAAAGTCTATTAAGGGATAATAATCAGGAATTCATTGGGAAAAACTTTGTTATTAGCAATAATCAGCATGTTTTTATGTCAAACTAACCTAATTGTATTCTACGAAGAAGTAAGTAGAAGTATAGATCAGGGTGTTGCAGTGGATGTGATATACTTGGCTTGTTCCAAGGCATTTGATATGGTTCCTCACAATAGGTTAGTTTTCAAACTAAAAGAAATTGGTCTAGATCAGCGTTTCCCAGTTGGTGTTCTGACAAAAGTTTAAAAAATAAAATGGCCACAGGTGGCGAGGGAGCAGTGATCTTCCTGCGCAGCTCCCTAGAGTCCATTGCAGTGATGCTGGAGCTGGAATATGACGTCACTCCAGCATCACTAAGAGCCACGCGAGGGAGCTGAGCAGGGATATCACTGCTCCCTCTCCGACCGCACACCAGCTGATCAGCAGCCCCACTGGACCCCAGGGACTCCATGCCAGCACTCCTAAAGGTAAGGGGCTGGGTGGAGTAAAATGTATTTTATGTGGGGGGGTGTTGTGTGTGTG